AGGTCTCAGGGTCTGCATTTCCTTTTACTGGCAATGAAGGTGGTTTTGATGAGAAGCGTAGCCTTACGGAGCCATAGCACATGAGGATAACTTCCAACCGTGCCTCCTCCTCTTGGGATCAGGGGGCAAGCTGGCTCAGATAAGAAAAATTCTTAGAAGAATAATTATTTCTGAACTAGAAATGTTGCCTCTCTGAGCAAATGGTGAGGACATGAACAGGCTCATTCCCTGCCTACCCTTTGCTGGCCAGGCTATCTACTGACTCAGCTCTCTTTTTGAGAGAATCGTCTTTAGAGAGGAACGCCATATGGCAGGTCTGTTCCAGAGTAGCATACCCTCGACATTGTTGCCCTGCTGTGATTTTTAATTGCTAACCTTGAGAGGTGGGACCTTCTGCCTTCATGCTGCCCAGGCTAGAGAGGAGGAAACAGAGCTGGGACCGTTAGGGTCAGCTTGGGGACACCCCTGTGTGCATGCCTCCCTTTTCGGTGCCCACCAGTCCATTTCTGCAACTCTTCTCTCAGTCTGTGGTGGTCAGTGCGGTCTGCAACCACGCGTCTTCCTTCTTGCTGAGCTCGCCCAGGAGCTATGAGACTGAGATGAAAACCTTCCAGGATGTGAGGACAGTCAGTTCCCGGGTCGAGCTTTCCCTTGCCCGGGACACAACTGCTTTTCCTCCAGACCAGGAGTGGGGCTGAGAGTGAGGCTCACTTACTGATTTACAAAGCGCTCTCTGAGCACTGTAGGAATCAGGGTAGGTCAAGTTTTGCCAGTCCACGAACAAATTTGCTAGTCCAGTAGCAACCTTAATATCTCAGGCTTAAAGACAGATGACAGACAGACAGGTTTATTTTTCACTTCATGCTCTTTGTCCATAGCATGTTGGCCGTGGAGTCTCTTGGGTGCCCCGGAAGTCCTCATGTCAGTTCTGAAACTGATGGCACAGCCATACTCTTGACACTGCTCAGGACTGTGGACAAGGCAAGAGAGTGCTCAGCAGCGTGGTGTAGCAAACTAGAACTCACAGGCCAACACTGGCCCCACTGCCTGCTTTTCCAGTCAATTAAGTTTTATTGGAATATGGTTCATTCACGTAGTGTCTGATGCGTGCATGCAGACAGTCACTGGGTTTCAGTTGTTAAAGTCGAAACAGAGTGGACTGCTAAGCTGAAATATGTACTGTTGGACCCTTTGCAGGAAAACTTTGCCAGTCCTTGCTCCAGAGGCTCTCCCATTGGTATTTAAATGCTTAACCTTAAAGATACAAGCTCCGCTTCCAACCAGAATAGGCCAGAGGGGTCATGTGGCCCCACTCACCACAGGAGGCCAGGAAGTGACTCCTACTATGTGCCCAGAAAGGGGAGACCAGGATATCTGTCAAACAGCACTAGTGACCATCACGTACCTACTATATGTTGGGCTCAGCTCTGGGTGCTGGATGCGGATAAGCAAGACAGAATGATTGGTACCAGGAATGAGAGGACTGGGATAGGGCCGGCTGCGGTCATTCCCGCTGATCTCCCCTAGAAGATGTTGAGCCCATTGTGTGTGAATTGCCTGAGTTAGAAGATTGTTCCCTGGGCGTGATGACAGCTAGACCTGGGGACTGGCCGGCTTGGCAAGCATTGGGGGCGACAGATTTCCCTGATGAACAGTTATATCAATAATAGAAGGGTTGTTTCACAGGAAGTCTTAAAGGAAAGATGAGATAATTTCATGTTTTGATATTCACAAAATTGATTCTGTTGAAGCCAGAGCTCAGCAGTGAATATTGCTGGTTTAATTTTGGCAAGGGTGTGATTAAAATTGGCAAAGTGTCTGGAAAGGAGGGGTGCAGGAAAGAGAGAGGGGGTCAGGGTGGGCCTGGACTGGGAGCCCAGAGCAAGGCTCTGGTGCTCTGGTGAGAGCCCTGAGGGGGGGCTCCCTGGGTGGCCCCCGCCCCCCGGGTATGTGTGTGTGTGGTGTGGGCCACCAGAGGCTGCTAGCAGCAGTCTGCACCCATCTCAGGGTTCTGGGAGGTGCTAAAGCCCTGGAGGAGTGAGAATAGCCTGGGGAGGGGGGAACATTGCATGTGTGTGGTGAGGGAGAGACATTTAAATATCGTAGGACTGAAAGATAATTTAAAAACCCATCAAGTGAATGGATGACATTCACTGAGATAGGATGACAACATGAAGCACATGAGTCACTCTTTCTAGAGATCTGCCCAGCCATTTGCGGGGTTGAAAGATACTTTCTCCTTCATTTCTCCTCCCTGCCACGCTGGTCCTGCCCCAGGCTTGTTGACCAACCTTGGTGGCCAGCTAGCTGTTCAGAAAGGGAAGAGGAGACACATGAGGGTGGCACTGTCGGGTCCTCTCTCCAAGGAAGCCGGGGTCTGTTTCACATCCACTTCAGCCTGGACCGCATCTTTTTCATATTTGCGACATTGACACAGGGGTCCCCGGGTGGCACGGTTGGTTGAGTGCTGGGCTACTTATCACCCAAAAGTGCCTCAGAAGAAAGGCCTGGTGATCTGATTCTGAAAAGTCATAGGTACAGGGCATTTGTATTCTGTGACACATGGGGTCGCCATGCGTCAGAATGGACTCAGTGGCAGCTAGTACGGGTGACACCTTCACATAATGAGGAGAGGGTGGGAGAGGCAGCTATGGCTTCTGCTTCACGAGAGAGGCAGTGTGATGAGTACAGTTGGGAAAGGCTATCAGCTAACACTGGAGACTCGAGTGCTCGTCTAGCTCTGCCTTCCCGCGAGGCGTGACTCTGGGCAAGTTGTCCTTCTCGGAGCCTTTGCTTTCCCATCTGTAAGATGCAGGGTTAGATCATTAGACCATGGCTGCCTATTCCTTGATGTTATGGGCTCGCAATTTGTCTAGCAGTTCACAGCAGGGCAGGTGGGGCAAAGGGTGTGGAGGGCAGCATTCTGGGAGTATGCCTCCCTTGGGCCCGAGCATCGTTCCTGGTGCATAGTGGGAGCTCACTCAATGTTGACGGGTGACTTTGTTGACAGGGCTCCTCAGAGCATGCAGAGCACATGGCACCTTTAGGTGACTCTGGGGGCAGCTGCTTGTGGTCACTGGGTGGTGGTGGGGGTGGTATGATTTGGGAAGTGGGTGGGGAGGAGGCTTGGGAAAAGGAGGTCTCTTGGCTGGGAGGAACACGGTTACAGATAACTCTGAACAGATGGTGTGGTAAGTTCAGCTTCTTTCAAACCAGAAGGGTGTTCTCCAGACCTCGGGCTTGCTGTGGAAACTTATTCTGACTCCTTTGGGTTCCTTAAATCCTCTGTGCACATGCTGTACTCTAACGCTTTCCTATTCCCCCCAGCAAGCTGCAGTTAAAACCTCCTCAAAGCCACCCCAAACTAGCCACCCCAAAGTGCCAATGTGCCAAGGTGCCCTCCACAGCTCATGCAGCCATCTGGCCTACTGGTACCTCGCCCACAGCACACCAGCTTACGAGGGCAACATCAGTATTTCCCCCCATCACTCCCACAAGGATAACTCTCTCAAACTCACTGCTATTGCATCCATGCCAACTCATAGCGACCCTATAGGGCAGGGCAGAACTAGCCCTGCCCCTGTGAGTATCCGAGACTGTAGGATAGAAAGCCCCATTTTCCTCCTGAGGAGCAGCTGGTGGTTTCAAACTGCTAACCTTGGAGCTAGCAGCCCAACTTGTAACCAGTATGCTACCAGGGAACTAAGTCCAACTCGTGGTGTGCTTGGCCCATGGCAAGCCCTCCTTAACTGCTTACTGAATGAACATGGCTTCAGAGGTAACTCTGGCCTTGTCCTCCTTGGACAGAAAGAGGGGAACGAGGCTTAGGAGAGCTAACAGGGACATCTGATTCCATGTGCTCCTGGGATTCTCCAGGTGGCAGATCCTGGCATTATTGGGAAGGGACCCACACATGGGGCTCACTTCTCAAGGACAGGAGTCCCTGGGGGTTGATATGGTTGACCGCTTAGCAGCTGACCTCAAAGTCAGAGGCTTGAACCCACCCAGAGGTGCCTTGTCAGAAAGGCTTGGCGCTCTGTCGAGAAGACGGCCAGTTTACTCTAACACAGGGTAGCTACTCGTTGGACTTGACCAGCAACCAGTTTGCCTTTCCCCCAGAGGAGATCCATCCTGTGTGGCAGGTTCTTGGAGGGAGTACTGGAGGTAGGAGGGGCGGTGGTGGGTGGAGCTTCCTGAGAGGGGTGGGGCACTGGGAAGGGATTTAGAGGTTGTTTTGGGTTTTTTTTCACCAAAAAGTGGGAGAGAACAGCCAGCCAGCTAACTGCCCGAGTTAGGTCCTGAGATGGGCAGCCTTGGGGTTTCTCCTCCTCTTCTGATAGCAGCCCCCGAAGCATTGATCACAGTTGCAAACCGTTTTTCTCTACTTCCGTAATGTCTGTTAGAATCCGGTCTACCTTGTGTTGCCCTGGACCTCCAGCCCCTGGCACAATGCTGGGCCCACCGTGGGTGCTACTGATTTCAACGATCAGACATTGAGCTCCTGTGTGCCTAAGGAGTCTAGGTGGCACCACTCATGGTCTGTGGTCAGTTGCCAACCTCAGCGGCTAACCTCAGCGTGTGGTTGGGAACACCCCGTGGAAGAAAGATCTGGCGATCTGCCAGATCCAGTCAGGAACGTGGGATTGCCATGAGACCGGCGATCGACCCCCCCTCTCCCCAACCTGTGTGCCCGTCTCTGTGCCAGGGCGGGGGGGCAGCACTCGGCAAACCAGAACCCTTGCTCTCCAGGATACTTTCATTAACTCCTTTCTCTTGTCTATTTCTCTGCCCTTTGCCCCTTCCCTAAACCCCTTGTCCAACACCCCTTTCCCATCCACCCCTTATCTCCCTCCGCGCAGAGCAATGTTCTGTGATGGTGCCCGAGATGCACGGACTGAGCCCAGGCCGCAGGCTGCCGGAGCCCGCCCCCTGCCTGGCCGCGGGCGGGAGCCCTGAGTCCGGGGCCTCGGGCCGCCGCCGCCACGTCCTGGCCCTGCCCGAGGAGGAGGCATGGCGACCCCAGCAGGGCGCCCTCCTGGAGGCCGATGCTTCGGAGGAGGCGGGCATGCTGCCGGCCTCCCCGCGCGCCGCCGCCACCGGCTTCGACAACTTTTTCCCGGTGCAGGAGGGCGAGGGCCCAGGCTGGGAGGGCGGCGCGGCCCTGGAGGCCGGCTCAAGCCCCTTCCTGCCCGTGAGCCCCGAGGTCATGAAGCGGCGGCGCGGGGGCCTCATCGAGCAGCGCGACATCATCAAGGCCCACGAGGCGCACAAGATGCAGAGCACCCCGCAGGCGCGGCGCAAGGAGTGGGAGTGAGTACCGGCTGGCAGGGGTGGGGGTGGGGGGTAAGGGAGGGGTGACTGGAGGAGGGGAGGGGTTGTTGGGAGGCTGTGGTCAATGACCCTGTCAGGGCAGAAGGGAGGGTCCCCTGGACGCACGGGTCCACGGAGGCAGCCAGGGAGGAGCTGGAGCATCATGGGTGCCATGCTGCGCCCCAGGAAGGCTAGGACCCACCGAGTGAGGTCCCTGTGCTCAGGCCCACTCACTCCCTGTGGCTCACCCCAGACTCTATACTGTCTATTGAGGGCCGGTCAGGTTTACCGCCCGCCTCTCTGCGCTCCTGGTCTCCACACTCCTGTTGTCCAAAGATCCTACAGAGAGAGCAATGGCGCCGGTGTCGCACGCGGAGATTCTCCGAGAAGCGGAGCACTGTCCTGTCCCGAGCATCATGGAGAATCCACCAAACGCAAAGCGTCCATCGTAGCTTCCTCTCAGGAATTGCTGCTGCCCGCCCCCACCCCCTTCGACTATCCTCCTGGGGTGATGAATTGAGCACATCGTCAGACACTCTCCACAGATGGCAAGAGACTGACCAAGATGTGTGGCCACCTCTGACTTGATGCCTCTTCTTGTTGTGTCGAGCAAGAGATTTATGCCCTCTCAGGCAGACTTGAACCAAATTCATGCCCGTCAGGACTTGGACTTTTAGTCCCAGATGCTCTCGATAGAAGGAAGATGGTATTTCATTTAATTCTCAACTGCTCCAGGCGTAGGCCCCCTATAAAGACTTTAGTGTGTTCTGCCTGTTTGCATGCCCAGAGGACTCTTGCTCATGCTTTAGACTATTGAGTTGTTTCGTTGAGAATCACCAGCTACCAAGAAGCTAACTAGTAAGAGGCATTTTTTAACGGTGGGTGGTATTGCGGAATTCACCTGCTTGGCTTCAGTAGATGTGCGGAAAGACTCAAATGCATGTTCCTGCATATGTTCCTTTGTGGGTTCACTCATTCATTTGTCCTTCACTAAGTCTCCGTGAGCTGGGCTCCTGGGACTCACAGAGGAGGTCGGTACTCAGTGAGTCAGTCTATTAAACCAAACTGGATGCTGTGAAGCCAATTCTGACTCACAGCAACCCCGCCGCACAGAGGGGGCTGCTTGAGAGGCATAGATTTCTGAGCCGGTACATACTGACAGGAGTAGAAAGCCTTGTTTTTCTCCCTAAGAGCAGCTCATAGATTTGAACTGACAGCCTCATAGTTAGCAGTCCAATGCTTAATCCATGACTTCACCAGGGCTCCCTTAACATCTATTTATGAATCACCGAGCTCTACAGAGTTCTAAGTGCCAGGCAGTAGTAGGCACTTTCCACACGTGTATCTGAGTAACTTAGCTAATCTTCACTGCAAGGCACCCCTGTGGGGTGCAGATGATTAAGTGCCGCACCCCTAACGGAGAGGGAAGGCTAGAGTCAAATCCACCCAGAAATGCCTGGGAAGAAAGCCTGGCAGTCTGCTTGGTAGAGGTGTGCTAAAGGACAGAATCTGATGCTGTGCGGAGGGAGGCACATGTACGTGCGGAATATACGGATGGAGCTGGACCGGGTAGAGGACAGACAAAGCACTCTGCCTTTCGAGCAGAGACCCAAAACGACGAGGCATCACAGGCCCCTGCCCTCCACTCGATTCAGACTCTTAGTGACACTAGATGGAGTTTCCGGAGCTGTAAATCTTATCTTTCTCCCACAGAGTGGCTGGAGGGTTTGAACCGCCAAACTCGCAGTTTGCTGTTCCAGGCCTATCCCCACAGCAAGGCCTCCTGTGTATACACAGAGAACGCAGGGAAGTTGGGGTTAAAGATGGCACGGTCAAGATCAGCCTGGACTTCAAACCCTTTGCGATGTAAAAGTCAGCCACAGGGTGTGAGTGAGGTACCGTCTCACTAAGTAGCACCAGCAGGCTTGGCTATACAAGACTCCAGTCTGAACACCACCCTTTCTCACGGCCCTCCCCCCCAGCCCTCCTCGCCCTCCCTGGACAAATCTTGACAAGTTCTGCCCCCGAACAAATGGTTCTCATCCTGATCCATTGCTTCCTGGGGAGTGCATGTTTGGCCCCGTCATTCTTACGTCTGTCATGAGTGCCCCAGGTTGAAATTCCCACCGACAGGCTCCAGCCTTGAAAACGCTGCGGAGCAGTTCCGTGCTGTGCATGTACATGGGATCGCCACGAGTCTTCATGGCGTCCATACCACTGGTCTTGCCCGTGGCCTGGTGGCAGATCTGAATGGTCTCCCCATATTACCATGGAGGCACTGAGGCATTAAGTGACTCTCTCAGGGTCCCACCGATAATAACAGCATGGCAGTAACTTGAACTTGGCCATTCTGGCTCTAGAATCCATGCTTTTAACCTGTATGGCATCATGCTGTTTATTCCAGTTCCCGCAGTGCCGCTGGCCATGCCACTCATAGAGCTGGGCACTAATACGTGCTGCCTGGCAAGGGCACTGGCTTGGGGGTGGCGAGGTTTGGGTCTCAGCCCTGGGTGACTGAGTCAGGGCTGTGGCCTTGGTGAAGCCATCTCATCATGGCTTTGAAGAGTGAATGGGAGAAGCCAGGTGACCGTTAGAATGCCTTCTTCCTCTGCTACTTGGAATGTTTTCATACTCACAGTCATTGTTTTTTAGACTCTAAACATTTGGGGACAGAGACTCTTTTAAACACTGCTGATGCCATATGGCCTAGTCCAGCAACTCCTACAACAGTCACTGAAAAACTGGCTTCACAAGACCCCCAAACCCAAATCAAATCGATTCCTACCTCCTAGCAACCCAATGGGACAAAGTAGAACTGCCCCAGTAGGGTTTGCAAGGCCATCATCTTAATGGAAGTAGGCGGCCCGCTTTTCCCTATAGGCTGGCTGATAGGTTCCAACCACTCATCTTTTAGCAAGCTGTTGAGTTTTTAACCTTTGTACCACCAGGACTCCTCTCCCGTGACTAGCCATGTGCACATAGCCCGAATATGCTTCTCCACATTCAACTGTCCTACTCAGAGGACATCAAGCTCTGGAACAATTGCTTGGGGTGGGGGAGTGGATGGGCGATGTTCTTTCACTCGGGCAGGTATGTGAGGTGGCAAAGCAGGGAAGGCACACCACGGAGCCTGGGGACACATCCTGGTGGGAGTGGATGGGCAGCGGGGCAAGAGGTGAGGAGAGGTGACAGGCAGATCGGGACAGGCAGAGAGCACGGGGTTAAAGAAGAGTCTGTTTTCAGAGGGAAGCCCCCTCCTCTGTGTAGAGGTGAGCGAGGGACCCCAGGTTTGGGCAGCATGGAGGCAGCCTGCATGAGAGCAGTTTCCCCAGGATGTTGGACTCAGAATCCCAGCTGGAGGGTTGAACAGAAAGGGGGACCGGACACAGTGGGGACAGTGATGTTCCCTCACCCTTGCCCCCCAACGCTCACGGCCTCATGGGTGCCCTCTGCTGGAGACCCAGGCTTCACACCCCTTGTCTACTTTTCCTCAGTCCCCAGTCTTCCCTGTACGGACATTCCTGAATTTAATGCATTCCCATCCCACCCGGTCACTTCCAGTGCTGATGGGCACCATCTGGAACTCAAGTTCCACCACCAGCAAAGCCTTCTATATCCCGTGCCCCACGCCGGACCTTCCTCTCAACCTACTTATTCCCAGTCTCTCCTAGAACGCTGCTTCCGCCCTATGTGGTGGCTCCTGTCACTCCCACTGGGACTCAGCAGCTTGGAGGCAGGGATAGTCAGAGTGCTGCTCCCACACCAGCATTCCAAGCTCTCTTCCCAAAAGGGCCAGCCTTGGGGCTCATGTCATCTGATTACAGACACCCCCAGCTCGCAGGTCACTTTCTGGGAAGACGTTTAGCTCCCGGCTTACTCTCGTCCCCGATTTCTCATGCGTACAATTCTTGGTGAGTTCACTCTCCCCTTAGTGACCCGTGCTGCCCACCGGCTGTTAGGCTCTGTAACGTCTTCTCTCCCCTGCTCTTGCTCCACTCTTCCCCTCCCCGGTGGGCCCGGACCATGTCTAACTGCACCATAATGTTTCATGCTGGCTGACTGTCCAGGCCATTCTCTCTACTGTCCGATTCCAAAGATTCTCCCAACCCGCCAGCACCCACATTATTCCTCTTTCTCTATCGGCCTCCTCACTGTCCATCTCTTCGCCCTTCGCCCTCCATGGCAAGTACTTTCCACCGCAAAATGGTGACCTTCCCTGTGAGAGCTCCCCTCTCGTTCAACCCTCCTCTCCTTCCAAGAAAGCTGCCAGTTGGTTTCCTGTGTTTTCAGGTTTCCAGCCTGTTCCAGGCTTTGCCATCGGTATAACCACACCGTCACCTCCCTGTCCCCCTCTTGCCGCATCCTATTGGTCTGGTGCGTGTCAGACCCTGTGGAAACCCCGTTGCTGCCTGCCTCCTCTGCCCCTGCATGTGGGCAGAGGAATGTGGCCAGAGGAAACTCACTGTAGATTCATGGGTGGCTGCCCTCAGTTGGTTGGTTCTTGGTCCTGCCCACAAGGCCTACTTCTCTCTGGTCCATGCTTCTTCATTCCCAGACCCTACCGTCTCTCATCAACCCACGGCTCACTCAGGACCACAGTCGCCTTCCTATGTCCCTGGGAGGTCAGTAGCAGCCAGCAGACACATAGTCAGGGTCCCAAAGCTGCGTTGACCTCTGGCTTGCCTTCTCCTTTGGCCTACGCTCCTCCTGGACCACCCATCCTGCTGCTCCAAAGGAGTTTGCCTTAGACCTTCTCCTTTAGTTTTCCTGCTTCTTTCCTGGGTGCAGGGCAAGTGTTCCTCTGATGCTGGAGCTCTGCCACTGTTGTCCAGTACCAGCGGTCAGCCGCCACGATGGGCAGAGTGCCATGGTGCCTAGAGGCTCAGACCAAGTAGACATAAGGGCCTGACATTCTGCCCCTGCACAGTAGCCCAGGAATCCCCTCTGCATCGCAACAGAACATGGATGCCCATGGGTCTGGAAGATGCGCTCCGCGGGCA